TTGCATTTTGTTCATCCTCTGACTGAACCGCAAAGAAGAGTGTGGACCCATTTTGGATAGGGAAACTGAGATTGAATGAATGTTGTTCATCTGATCCGGCCTCCTGAGGTGAGACGGCAGCTGTGTTGACTACATGACCGTTGCTGAAGCTGTTTCGAAGCATATCAAGGTCAAAGCTCCACCTGATCTCATAAGATTTAGCTTAAAGGAAAAGAAACGTACCATGTGTTACCCACCTGAGACTAGATACATACATGACTTGTGAAGACAACCAAAAGTATAAATTCAACAAAATAAAGGACCATTTTAAAGATTCAGTTGTGTTCTTCCATATTCATCAGTCTCAATAGACTCAATATTTAATATCACTTTTACATAATAATGTCACAACATACACACTGAATAGGGTTGGCACATATTGTCCTCTTGTTAACATCTGTAACACTGTTAAATAATCATCAAAGTTATTGTTATGTTTCTGATAGTGATTGAGAAATGTTAGGTGACATTATTAACTGGTTAACATCACTTAATTACATTTTTTTTTCTACACATGCAAGACAATTAAAGATACATTATTTGATGACGTAACTTTAAAACAACTTCTATTTTGTCAGTGAAGATGTTAAAGAAATAAAAAATCTTGCATTTTAAATACTGGTATAGAAATGGTATATTTTACCTGTGCCTTGGTCGAGGTCCTCACCAGGTGCTGTCCAGCTGAGAAACACAGTGTCCTCCTGGATCTCAGCACTCAGATCTGTGATTCTGTTAGGAGGGAAGGTTGGTGGAGTTGTGCTTGAAAGTTTCACCACAAAACTCTCTCCGGTGGCTGTTCTGGTGAAGCTTCCAACCTCAAGTGGTTCCTCAGAAACTGGAGGCTTTGGAGGGTTCAGCTGCACTACACCTGAAATTAGAGGAACCACTTGAGTACATCTCAAGTGAATTGGTTAAGAAAATGTTTGAGAACCACTTGCTTGACTTCTGTCTGAATTGTTTTCTCCAAACAGCTTTATAGCGAATTATTTCCATTTAGTCCAAGTTTGTGCATTAGTTCAGTGAATCATTTTGCAAAGTCATCAAAGACATAATGAAGTCATAATATACTTGTATATATGATATACTTGTATATATAATATATTATGTGAATAATAATAATAATATAAATGACCATACCTGTGTATTAATTATATTTAATATAAATTGTCATGTTTGAAACAGTAAGCTAAGTGATAAATGTCTGTTGCAATGATTAATATGAAAATAAATGCAATTTGGTTATATTAGATGTGCATTATTATTGTGATCTTATT